TCTGGGAGGATCAGATGGGGAACAAAAAGGGACTGAGTTGTCCAGCTGAGTTGGAGCAACCTGAGCTTTTGTTTAACTGTTTTAACCCATTCTTCCCCCAGGGCTCACCCACAGGCCTCTAGGGCAGGGGTCCTCAAACTAAGGCCCACGGGCCACATGTGGCCCCCCAAGGACATTTATCCAGCCTGCCAGGTGTTTTTGCTGCTGCTGCCTGTCCTGCTTAGCAGCCGACTCGTCCGGGCCCACAGTGCGCATGTGTGGAATGTGCGCCGCACTCTCCAGCGGCCCTCCCACGGTCTGAGGGACAGTGAACTGGCCCCCCGTTTAAAAAGTTTGAGGACCCCTGTTCTAGGGTTTCCTGTCTGCCATTAACTGAAGGTCTCCCAGATGCTGTTCCAAACCTCCCCCCACTGCTTCCTGCTGTGTAGAAAAAAACCTTCTTGCTCTAGTTTTTGTTTTCTTGTTTTTGAAATAGACACACTCACAGAATTATTTCTCAACATAAGAAAAAACAGCAGAGGAAGTACAGTGCTAAACAGAATAGCAGCATGTTGGAGAGGCTATAGGGAGTCGTGGGGACTGTGGCAAGGTTTAAAGAGGGCTCTACTACTGAGTCCCAGGAAAGTGTTGCTAGATCTTCCAATTTTTCACAACAAGTTGGCAATCCGGATTTCTGTATACGGAGCCCCTCTCTTTTTCCCCTTGTACTGTGCAGCCCAACCGGACACACGCAGGGCTGAATGCAGCCACGGACCAGCATCTGGCCCATCTGGTCAGTGCATGTTAGAATGAGACAGATTTATCTGTGCCTACAAATTCTGCATCCTGCAGTGGCCCAGACCAGCCACTGAGCCACAGGGAATGACACTATGGCCTCTGGACCCCCAGGAGATCTCTCTTGATGCTCCAGGTAACAGCCGCACTAGCCCAAAGAGGAAGAGAGGCGAACAGCCTGATGAAGCGGCTGGGGCCCGAGAGACCAGCTCTGTGAGCCACCTCCCAGTACAGACAGGGAAACTGAGGCCTGGAAAGCAAGGAGGAGGTCTCTCATACCCACGAGGCAAATCATTGGCCTCAATGGACCCAGAAGTCACACTGCTAACTCTCAGCTCCACCCTTTCCCAGGAGAAACTGGGCTTAAAATCTTGCAGAAATTTGGATTTGGACCAGGAACTAGATGGCATTAAGAATTATTTTTTTTTTTAATTTTTTTATTTCAACATATTATGGGGGTACAAATGTTAAGGTTACGTATATTGCCCATGCCCCACCTCCCCCCTCGAGGCAGAGCTTCAAGCGTGACCATCTGCCAAACGTTGCACATCTCACTCATTATGTTTGTATATACCCATCCCCTCCTCCCCCCCACCCGCCCGACACCCGATAAATGTTACTCCTATATGTCCACTGAGGTGTTGATCCATTAATACCAATTTGCTGGTGAGTACATGTGGTGCTTGTTTTTCCATTCTTGAGATACTTCACTTAGTAGAATGGGTTCCAGCTCTATCCAGGAAAATACAAGAGGTGCTGTATCACCATTGTTTCTCAAAGCTGAATAGTACTCCATGGTATACATATACCACATTTTATTAACCCACTCATGAATTGATGGGCACTTGGGTTGTTTCCACAACTTTGCGATTGTGAATTGTGCTGCTATAAACATTCGAGTGTAGGTGAAGAATTATTATTATTATTATTTTTTATTCTCAGGCAAGATAATGGAATTGTGATTGCATTTTTTTTTAGGAGACAGGCTCTCGGTCAGTTGCTCAGGCTCAAGTGCAGTGGCATAATCATAGCTCACTGTATCCTTGTTTTTTGATATGCATTCTGAAATACTCAAGAGTAAAATATCATGACGTGCATGATTTTTAAAACAACGTTAACTGCCCTCCTGCTGTCAAATCAAGGTGTGGATACGCAGGGGTTCTTATACTATTCTTTTTCTGTATAGTTAAAATTTTTCATAAATTAAAAAGTTTAAAAAATAAAAAAAAAATACCATTAAGTGAAGACAGAGTTGCTAAACGGATTAAGTAGTATTTTTTTGTTTTTTTGTTTTCTTACTGGGCCAAGCATGAATTGTGGGGCTGGCTACAGGTGGAATATAATCTCTGCATGATCTTGGAAAAGTCACTTAACCTTTTTTAAGCCTCAGCTATATGGTGGGGGTGATGAAAACTATCTCAGGGCTTGGTCAGCAAAGGAATGAAACGAGAGAAGCAGAGAGCCTTGTTTCGACCCAAACTTTGGGTCAGTGTCTACACAGCACCATCTTTTTCCACATGATTGTCCTTCCTTAAGAAATCTTCTGCTGTGGCTGCATCTCTTATTATCTAAGGCTCCGTGGTTCTAAGAATTTTAAGTAGTCAGATTACAAATATAATGTGCGGGAAGAGTGAGAATTCATTTTTCCTGAAAATTAAAAATCCTTGCTATCCTGAGCTTTAATCCAGGCAGACCTTGAGCAAGTTGCTTGGCCTCTCTGACCCTCCATTTCCTCCTCTGTAAAATGGGGGTAACAAAAGTGCCCCCTAGATGAGCTGGGAAGGGAAAATGAGATTGGGGGCCCAAATTGGGGTCCCCAAAGTCCATGTACTGCCCTCCAGCTGCTGTGACCCCCCCCTCGTTCCCACACTTCTCTCCAGTATTCACTTGATACCCCTCCCAATATACCCACAGGTATAAAAATCAAAGGCTCATCCCAAAGATAGATTAGCTCTCCAGATTGACAGTCGGCAAGAACTGGCCAAAAGAATGTCCAATTGGCATTCCTCCCAACCCAGCAACTCCATTCTTAGCTACTATTATCATCATCTCCATTTTAAACACAGGGAAACTGAGGCAGAAAGCAGTTACTCAACTTGACCATATCTCCACAGGCTGGGAATTTGCATATGCCAAGAGCACCGGGCACCCAGGTACCCCCTCCCATGCACTGGGGCACGCTGCCCCCTCCTGCCCCAGAGGAAAGCGAGACCATCGGACGCCCGCAGGAAGAGCACAGCTCATTGTCTGAAACAGCAAAGCACCAAAAGCAACCTAAAAGTCCATCAAGTCCATCGATGGGCACGTGAACACAAAGGAACAAAGAAACCTGCAACTTATTCATGTTATGGAATATCAAAACAGAGGATTAGATCTCCATGCAGCAACACTGAACAGATGTCAAAACTAAAATCTGGGTGAAGAAAAGCAACGGCACAGTCTGAAAACTCTTCTCTACAGAGTCCTGAAAGAGCCTGCCAACCTAGGAGAAATAATTCATTTCTTCATCGGGGAGTTTGCTGTCTTTTCCTTTTCTGCAGGTAAATGATTGAAGGCATCAATTTTAATTTCACCTGAAAAGCTGTCTGGAGGCTGAAGAAAAATACGGGCAGCTTAGTGCCTGAAAATTCAACTAACATATTGTTTCAAAACCCAAAACTTGCCGATGTTTCTGGCTTTTTCAAACACTCTAACGTAATAAGCGCGCGCACACACACACACTTACATGCAAGGCTGGTGGCGGCCCCCTCCCTTCTGTAGATCAAAAAGAAAAGGCTCCCTAGACCAGACCCCATGAGAAAAGCCACACCCAGATGTCCACCTGGATAAGAACTTTTCCCTTCTGGGTTCCGCAAATGCAAATACCGCCAGCCCCTCCTACTTCTCAATGACCACCCAAGGTCACAATGGCAAATCCCCAGCTCTTCCTGCCAAAAGTCCCTAGCCCAGGCCCAAAGGGTATAAAAGGCCGCAGCCGCCCCTAAACGGGGGTGACTTCTGGGGCCCCCCTCTCTTGGGGCCCCAGAACCTCCTCTGGGAACACTAAATAAAGCCACCTGGTTTGGCCCCACTCTTTCTCTCTGTTTCTTTCTCAGCTGCGGAAAAACCTTACATTACACTGCTCTGGATTATCTACAAGCTCATGTCTGTAAGAATAATTTTTAAAACATCTGGAAGACTGAGGAGATATCACAACTAAAGGAATGTGGTACCTTGGATCGGGTCCTGGAAGAAAGGAGGACATTAATGGAAAACTGAAGCAATCCCAGTGAAGTCTGAAGTTTAGTTCACAGTGATGCGGCCAGTGCTAGGTTTTCAGTTGTGACAAATGTACCATGACAATGTAAGATGTTAACAACAGGGGAGACGGGGGAGGGGAATACAGGAACTCTTTGTACTATCTTTGCAACTTTTCTGTAAATCTCAACCTAGTCTAAAATAAAAAACACATTTTTTTTTCAAATCCTGAAGTTTCCACCCAAACTGAGAAACAGGAGAGGCCTGAAGAGGGGAAAGGACTAGAATCCCAGGGCAAGGGGGTGGGGACGGTTGAAGGGCTTCAGTCTTATCTATTCTGCTATTCAAATTAATTTTTAAAATACTTTATGAAAAGAAGAACTACTGCTATCACCCTGATTGGAGGTGTATGAGTTCTACCTCTCCTCCTAAATCGCAGATTCTCAATGGAGCAGGAAAACCCTTGGGCCCTGGAGGTGGCAACGTCCGGCCCCCGTAGGGGACCCCTTTAGCCGCCCCAGTTTCTCCCGAGGCAAATGAACACACGGAAGCCTACCCACCGCCCAGCCCAATCCAGACGCGGAACACGGAGGAAGGTGGCTCCAGGGCGCGAAAAGGACAGCCCCGGGGCCCCTACATCCCGCGGCCTCAACTGTCCCGTCAGTGCAATGGGCGCAGAGCAGGCAGAGTGTGACAGCGAGTGCCGGGCGCCGGCGGAGGCTCAGGAGCAGGAGAGGCTCCTCCACCCGGTCCCGCCGAGGCTCTCCGCGCACTCTCCCCGCTCGCAGACCCCCGTCCTCACCCAGACCCCTTCGCGGTCCGGCCACGGCGCTAGGGCCCGACCCGGACCCTCGCGGCGGTGTGCGGCCCCAGGGACCTCCCGTCCCCGCAATGCCCGCCGTGCGCCTTCGTGGCGGCCGGCCGGCGCGGGGACCCACCGGGCTCGCGGCCGAGCGAGGCGCCCGTGGCGGCGGCGGGCAGGCACTCACCGCGCGCGCCGGCGGGTCAGCAGCAGCAGCAGCAGCAGCGCGGCCAGGAGGCCGAGCAGCGCGGCCCAGGCCATGGCGGGACAGCGGCGGCCGCGACGCGGGCCGCCCAGGTAAAGCCCTCCGCCCCGCCGGCGCCCCTCCCACCCGCCGCGGGCGCCGCGGGGCGGGGGCGGGGCCTCCGGTATTGGGGGGGCGCCGCGGGACAGCCCCCACCTCCCGGTCCGGAGGGGACACGTGGGAGGGAGGGGGGGATGGAGTGGGTTGGCTGTGCTGGGCTGGCAGGGGTGATGGAGGGGCGAGGTTCGGAGGGGATGTGCAGGGGAGAGGTGGGAGGGGGCTGGGGGAGGTGGGAGGGGCAGCCTGAGCCAGCGGAGGGGAGGAATGTGGGGAGGCGGAGGGGGACCCGGAAGGAGCCCTGGGGCGGGAGGGGCAGTGTGGGGAGGGCTTGCGGTGGGAGGGCGTGGGGGGAGTGTAGGGGGCCCGGAGGGGCTTTCCCACCACTTTCCACGTCCCTCCTAAGCTGACCGCACCGGCACCAGCCCGTCCCTGGCCCAGACCTGGCGTTTTCTGTGCTGTGGGTCTGGGCTGGGTGGGCTGGGCGGGTTATACTGCACTGTATGGCGTCTTCAGTAACCACAGCTCAGGAGTCAGAGGAGCAACTGGGACTCCGCTCTGAGTACCCACGCTCCTCACCTGCTATAGCGTCAGACTGAGTGTGAAGCGCCACCCTGCAGCTGGAGCATATTGGGGCCACTACCTGGTGCTCTCGGTGCCAGCCCCTGTGCCAGGTGCTCTGCAAAGGACCACCCCAGGGTGCTGGTGAAAACCGGACTCCCAGCTAGAAGGCCGGGGCCTCACTCCAGGCTTGTGCCTCCCTCCCCTACCCTCCCCCGCCCTCCTCCTTCCAGGTTGATACCCTGGGAAGCCTTGGGCAGGTGACTTAACCTCTCTGAGCACAGTTCCTTACCTGGAAACAGAGGGGTCAGAATGGTACTTACCCCAGGGCTTGCCGTGAGGAGTTGATGAGTGCTTGTCAGTATAAAGGAATTGAAAGTGTTGAGTGCTTGGTACGTGTAGGTTTTAGGAAACAATTATCTGAACATGAAGCTGGGACCCAGGAAGTCTGGTTCTAGTCCTGTATCTGCCTGCTCCCCACTGGGTGAGCTTAGGCAGGTTTCCTTCCATCTTCCCAATAGTGTGGAGAAGCCTCCTCCTCCCTGGTCTGGTGGCTCCCGCCCTCATCTGCCTACCGGTCTCCCCACAGTAGTCAGAAGGCTCCTGAGAACCTAAGTCAGATCACTGAATCCTGCTCAGAACCTTCCCTGGCTCCACCTCACTCAGAGCACAAAGTCCTTCCAAGGTCCTGTGGGAAGCAGCGTGGTCTGCCCCATCCCACCCTTACCTCCATGGCCTCAGCACCCTGCCCCCCCACCCACGTCCACTGCTCCGGCCACACTGATCTCCCCATCTTTCTCCAAATATGCCAGCCTCATGTCCCCCCAGGGCCTTTGCACTTGCTATTCCCTCAGCCTGGAGGTTCTTCTCTGGAAGATTTGCACAGCTCGCTCTTTCTGTCACGTCCCTCGTCCCTCTCTCTCGCTCAGCTATGCTCAGAACCCCTCCCTGACCATCTGGTCTAAAGCAGCCACCCCATCACTCTGTTGCCTTAACGCGTTTGTTTTCTTTGGGCTCGGTGTGGGGCTTTGTTGTTGTTTGGTTTTGGCAGCGCTTCACACGGCCCGATATCACATTAGACATTCATTTATTTGCCTGCTTAATGTCAACCGTCAGGGCAGCCGGATGACCCCATGCGTCCTCGGCAGATTCAGGACAGCAAGAGGCGAAAGGAGTTTCCTGCACCTCTTGTTTATTTATCCAGCTTATCCGCCAGCGAAGCCAACAATCCCAAAAAGGCCTCGGAACAGGCCTGGAGGGTTTTCTCCAAATTTGGGGAGCTCCACGGGGCTGTCTTCCGGCAGTGGGGTTCACGGCCCTGCTCAGCTCAGCGATAAGCAGCTGTGGCCCCAGGGAGTGTGCTCTGAGCTGGGGAAGAGAGAACCTAGGGGGTCGAGGTGAGGAGCACATGACCTACGGCAGGTGACACACCATCTGAGTGCCTGCCACACAGCGAGCCCTGGTGAAAGTTAGCTGCTACTCCGCTCTTTCCAGCTCGGCGTCTCACCAAATCTGTGATCAGGGCTAGGTCTCTTTTCTCATCGGGAAGACGGGAAGAACAGTTCCTTCCTCACAGGGCTGCTGGGAGATCAGCTAAATGACAAGAGTATGAAATCACCCAGCACAGGGCCTGGCACACAGCAGGTGCTCAATAAATGTTAGCTCTTCTACTCCCACTCCTGGCTTCAGTGCAGACCAGCGTCGCCTCCGTGGGAACCTCTCCCAAATACCCTCTTCCCACGCCACCCTGGGGCAGAGTCCTCCCAGGCCAGGAGCCGCGGCTCCCTGCACACCAGAGAGAGAGGGATGTGCCGGTGCCTCGGGCTTTGTTCGGGATTTATCCTGAATTTGCCAGGTTTTGTCCTGGATTTGGTCAGGGGTCGGCAGGTGTTGAGGAAGGTGGCCCCACCCTCTTTCCGGAGAATAAACTGTCACTGCTCTGAGCCAGTCGGGGACATCCCTCTTTGCTGGTGACAAGTCCAGAGGTGGGTACCTTCTGGACATCTGTGGGAGGCTTCTGGAAAGTTCCCTGTCTGTCTCCTCTTCTACTTTGGGGGCCACTGCGTGCGGATGTGATGGGGCGGGGGGAGTAGTGCCGCTAGTGGGGGAAGGCCGGGAAAATTCTAGAGCCCCCGCCCAGAGCTGCAGATTAACCTTCCCTGGAACCGCCCACCTCTAGATTTCTCGTCTGATGAGATAACCAAATGCCTGTGTTAAGACACCATGACTCAGATTTTCTCTTACTTATAGCCAAAAATATTCCCAACCGAGACGGCTCCCAGTTACGCCTGTGAGAGGCCGAAGCGAGGTAGCAATGCGCCCAAAGCACCTGTCACAGGCCTGGCCCCTGGTGGTAATTCAAAAATGTTGCTTCAAAAATGTCTTATTATTTTTACTTTATCACCTAGCACACGGGCTTTCTATTAACATATTTAGCAGCCTAATAGGCATCCAGCAGTCTGGCTGTGGCATCAGGCGGGAACAGGCAGGCTCTGAACAGTAGCAGGAATTCCTAACTCCCCTGCCCCATGAGGGTCGAAAGGACCCTGCTGAGGGCAGGGAAGGTATGGCCCAAGGGTGACCCCTCCAGCCCACAGTGGAGCCAAGTTCAGCTTCGCACATGACCCTAAGCAAGTCGCTTCACCTCTCTGAGCCTCAGTTACCTCGTTTGTGCAATGGGCGTGTTGCTGGCAGTGGCGGTAAGGAGTCACCCCGTGGGGTTCCAACTGCGGCATCTAAGCCTTCATCCGGGATGTGAAGCCCACATGTCAAGTGGACTCCCAGGAAGATTCCTCCCGGCGGCACGCAGCCGGACGTTCCCCTGTAGGAGTCTCAGTGCATCCAGATGTCCACTGTCCAGTAGAAACATGACGCCTGGGCAACCGTCCCATTCCACCCACTCCCTGCCCTCTTATCTGGCCGCTGTAGGGTCATGACGATAATGTCCAGACCCAACCCAATCAGAACAGGGGACCTTGCCTGGGAAAGGGCAGCCCTCTCCTCCCTGCGCCCCTGCTCTCTCCCTTCCAGGGACCAGGTCTGGCTCGCGTCTGCATCCTGAAGCCTACAGACGCACTGAGTCAGGAAGGGGAAGTATTGTGTGTGCTGCCTTCTTTACAGCTAAAACCCAGCCTCGTTAGAGAGGGGCAGTTTTCCACGCTTTTTTCAATGGCAGCTCTAACTTTAGTTGGTCACTTACCCCATTGGAAACACTTTTTTGTAATAACTCATTTACTCCCCATAAGGACCTGTAAAATGGATACTATTGTTATCCTCAGGTTGCAGATGGTGAAACCAAAACCCAGAGGGGGTCAGTAACTCACCCGAGTCCTTCCTTTGATAGACCAGAGCGTGGGACTTGATGTCTTCTTAGGATACGCTGCCTGCCTCCCTCGTGCAGTGAACACACCTTGGGCCTCACACCTTGGCTCGTGCTGGTGGCCTGCCTGGAAGCCCCCCCCCATTGTCTTCCTCTCCGTTTATCCACATCCGTCATGGGAAGGTGCATGAGTCCAGGTCCTCTGAGACGGCCAAGATGAGACGAGATGTAGTACGAGAGATTTACTGGGCTAAATGCCAGGGAGGAAAGTGAGGAGGGACCAGAGGGGCTGGGAGAAAGGGGTGGGAGGGAGGGAAGGGTTGGGGCTGCAGTGCGGTTCTAAGAAATCTCAGCAAGGCTAACAGGATGTCCTTGAGCCTCCAGGGGAGCCCTGTGTCACCCAGGCACAGGCCTGCCTCCCTCGGGCATGAGCTGGGAACCAACCCCGGGAAGCACCGTAAGCATGGTCCCTCTGTCAACGGGTCCCCGTACAGGAGACCTCAGAGGCGCGTTTCCACGGCCGCTGCACTTTCAGGAAGTACAGCTGCAACCTAAAACCAAAAAGGCTGCCTGTGCTATTCTTCCACTTCCAGACGCCGGACCGGTTGAGAGGTAGAGGGAAAGAAAACGCGAAAACGGCAAAGTTTAGGTTGTTTTCGTGCTGCTAGTGAGAGTGTGGTGAACTCAAGTCTTCAAGCAAGTGTTGCGAAGGGATGGAGCGGGCCGGTCCTGTCGGGAAGGCACCGGGGAAGGCTGAGACAGCGGAAGCTAGACGGCGCTGCCCAGCCCAAAGGAAGCAGCCTCTGCTCCATTCCAGCCCGCTGTGGCCGTGGGGAAATACATGCCAGTGTGGCCCGGTCTCCTGATTCAAGAGACGCCGGAAATAATGGCTCGGTGTATTTTAAAACACTGTGTAGGCCAGCAACGTCTGCCCTCTGATTTTAGCCCTGGAGTCTAGTGCCAAGGGCCCGTGGTTTAGACATTTTGGATAAGCAAAATAGGTCTGGAGTTGGGATGTTGAACAAAATTGCTCTGTAGAATTAAGGAAGAGCAGTAGAGTTTTAGGAGGAAGCCTTGGAG